AATCACTCTCAAAAGAAACATAAATCCCCAATTTGGAAAATCTAAGAGCCCTAGTTTTCCGTCTCGGATTGAGAATAATAACGAAGAACCCTAATTTTCCGTCTCTGGGATTCTTGTAATTTCAATCGGAGGGTAATCTACTTCAGATTGGCTCAATCTTTGGAGAAAATCCTTCGCCTAGCTCGGATTCGGAAAATTTCGATGCTATTGATGAGCAGAAGGTGAAGGAATCCATCTGAAGAGAAGTTTGTTTATCGAAGATGCCGCTTCGTAATCAGAATCGCGCTCCTCGGAGTCCAAACGTTGTAAGTCTTCTTCTTCTTCGGGGAGTTTTCATTTGTGTGTATTGGAGATTTTTAGATTGGGTATTGAGGAAAACATAAGAGAAAGAGATGAGACATTAAAGTTATTAAGATTAGTCATTTGAGTCACTGGAATCTGCATTTAGGGTTTTGTTCTATAGATTAAAATCTTAAGCTCTCTCCAACGTATTTTGAAATTCTACAGCGATATGTTATCGAGAACGTTCTGGAGTGATTTTGGGTTCCTGTGATGTTTCCTTGTATTTGGGTTCCCTTGAGAAATTAACAAAGTTTGGTGACTTTACTTCATTTGGAATTTAACTGTTTCTGAACCATTTTCAGAAAAAGGAAGGTCACTCCAGCATTCCCTTTGACAAGAGAAGAAAGGTGGAAACTCAAGGTACTGGAAGAAGACAAGTGCTTTCCACAGTGAATAGACAAGATGTTACTGCCAACAGTGATGTGGGTAGCACTGAGGAGTGTGGTAAAGTTGAATTTACAAAAGATGAAGTGATGGCTTTGCTTAACGAGAGAGCTAAAGCTGGAAAGTTTGATACCAAGGTTGTTAACCCATAACCAATAGTTTGATCCTAGGAGATTTCAGGAAAGTTTACTGTTTCACTTTAAAAAAGGTTTCTTCTTTTTGGTTTCTTTGCGGTACTACAGGCTAAGATCGAGCAAATGACAGATATTATCAAGAGGCTAAAGGTTTGTGTTAGATGGTACCAACAAGTGGAAGAAACCCATGTCCAGGAGAAGGAAAATCTTGGCTCTTTGCTGGAATCTGCAGAGAAAAGATATAGTGATAAAGGTGAGTTTAGTTTCCTGCATATCCCCTGTCCTTGCATCTATTTGTGTACACTACTGAACATGGCTTCTAATTACTTCTAGAGTTGGATGCAAAGAAAAAAGAGGAAGATCTCCAAGCTACTATAGCAGAGATGAAGGAGAACATAGCGTCTCTACAGGAAAAGCTCTCAAAGGAGGAGCTGAGTAAGTTGGTAAGGCTTTACATCCCCCTGGTTTTTTTCATTGAATAGCTTGTCTCCTAAATGATTGTCTTATTCAAGTTTGGTTTCTCCTTATTGGTAATGACTACTAGGATGCAACTGAAAATCACAGAAGAGAAAAAGAATGTAGAGTTGCAGCTGAAAAGCTTCAAGATTCTCTCCGAGAAGAGCTTGACAGAGTGAAAGAAGAGAAAATGGCTGCCAAGCATAAGGTACAGCAGATCGGTGTTTCATTCTTTGTTTCTGGATTGTTCTGTAATCTTTAGTTGTTGGGTTAATGGATTGTTTTCATTTCTAGGTGGCGTCGCTGGAAGATATGTACAAAAGGCTGCAAGAGTACAACACGAGTTTGCAACAATATAACACCAAACTCCAGACAGATCTTGAAGCAGTTCGAGAGGCACACACTCGTGCTGAGAAAGAAAAGTCAAGTATATTGGAGAACCTTACTACACTAAGGGGTCACAGTAAATCACTGCAAGATCAACTAGCATTGAGCCGAGTAAGTGTCCCTCCTCTACTATGGACGTGGTTTGTTTTTAATCGATTTGTTTTTCTTGCCTTAATCTGTTTTTCATCCCTATCTGTGGTCAAGGTTTCACAAGATGAAGCTGTTAAACAAAAGGAGTCATTGCTGATTGAAGTAAAGAACCTTCAAAGTGAACTCCAACAAGTCCGGGAGGATCGTGATCGCCAGGTTGTACAGTCACAAAAGCTGGCTGATGAGATCCTGAAGTATAAGGAGAGTGCTGGAAAGTCATCTAATGAATTGGACATTTTGAAAGCAGAATCAGGATCTTTGGAGGTTAGCTCAAAGTAGAATTTTTGCATTGTTGCCATATATTCAGTTGTCTGACAGTGCCAATCTTACAGAAAACATGTTTGTGGCAAAAAGAACGTATAAAAATGTTGGAACAGGAATTAGCTTTTGCTAATGATAAGCTAAAGGTAATGGTATAATTATATTTACTTTGGATTTGTGATCTGCTCAACTTTTCTGATCAAAGTATTCCCGATTTTGTTTTTCATTGATATATTTTGTATTTTCTTTCAACAGATGGTAGATGCATCTATTTCTCATACTATGACAGAATTTGAGGAGCAGAAACAACGAATGTGTGAACTGCAAGAGCGCCTTGCAGACACGGAGCATCAACTTTGTGAAGGAGAGTTGTTGCGGAAGAAGCTTCATAACACCATTCTTGTAAGAAAATGTATTTTTGGAAACATTTAACTTCCCGGGGATTCCTTTATGTTTGCTAAGCAAAGTTTTTATCAGGAACTAAAAGGAAACATTCGCGTGTTCTGCCGAGTGCGCCCCTTACTACCAGATGATGGAGGACGTCAAGAAGCCAGCGTTATTGCCTATCCTACTTCAACCGAATCACTTGGGAGAGGCATTGATGTGGTCCAAAGTGGTATATTCATTGGTCCACCTGATTTACTTTGCTCTTTAAAGAGAAATATGCTTGTCCTAGACATTGATTCACTTATTGTGCTCTCAGGTAACAAGCATCCTTTCACCTTTGACAAGGTCTTCGATCACGGAGCTTCTCAAGAAGAAGTATTCTTTGAAATATCTCAACTTGTACAGAGCGCATTGGATGGTTATAAGGTTTATCATCTTCCTTATTTTGACGATCTTGTAATTGCCTGTTTGCAAATACTCTGGTTAGATGCAAGTATTTGAATCATGGTTGTTTGCTTGTGTAGCTGTAGCTCATTTTATTTAAAACTTTTGTCCAAGTTAGTCTGACAACGCTTTAACTGATTCCTTTGTCACTGCACATGTCTATCTTTGTTGACACAGGTTTGTATATTTGCGTATGGTCAAACGGGGTCTGGCAAAACTTACACAATGATGGGCCTGCCTGAAACACCAGACCAGAAAGGGCTGATTCCTCGATCACTTGAACAGATATTCAAAACCAGTCAGTCTCTTAGTGCACAAGGCTGGAAGTACAAAATGCAGGTATATGTTTCTGCCAATATGCTCGAACATTGGTAGCTTGTTTTGATTTTAAGTTTATGTGTAGGTCTCAATGTTGGAGATCTACAATGAGTCCATAAGGGACTTGCTTTCTACAAACCGAACAATTGCTATAGAGTCTGTACGAGCAGATAGTAACACCTCTGGAAGGCAGTATACAATCACACATGATGTTAATGGAAACACCCATGTCAGTGATCTGACAATAGTTGATGTATGCAGCATTGGACAAATCTCCTCACTCTTGCAGCAGGCTGCTCAGAGCAGGTTGGTTCTTAAAATTTGAGACTTTCTGTGTTGTTTATGTTCTGTCTTTTCTTTCCTTTTTTGTATTCTACATCTTACATCATTCAAGCATTAGTAGATACCTCTTATGTCGAAATCATTCAAGCATTATAACAATTTACAAAGCTAAAGCCTTGTCACATCTTATTTTGCAGGTCTGTTGGTAAGACTCATATGAATGAGCAGTCATCAAGGAGTCATTTCGTGTTTACTCTTCGGATTTCTGGTGTGAACGAGGTGAATTTCTTTGCCATTCGGATTAGTTTTTGTCACTTTTGAAGTTCTCTTCTCACTCATTACACTACTCTCGTATTTCAGAGCACTGAACAGCAGGTACAAGGTGTTCTTAACCTAATTGATCTTGCTGGAAGTGAGAGACTCTCAAGGAGCGGCGCAACAGGAGAGCGGTTAAAGGAGACACAGGTATTTTGCTTTGAAAATACAGTTTTTGCACTTAAACACCCACTAATCTTTGTTCTTGACTACACCAGGCTATAAACAAAAGCTTATCTGCTTTGAGTGATGTTATATTTGCATTGGCAAAGAAAGAGGATCATGTTCCCTTCAGAAACTCAAAGCTAACATATCTGCTTCAGGTTAGTTTTGTTCAGATCGTTCTGAATCATTGTTATGCATCAATCTGAATCATCATTCTGATAAAGAAGAATAATCTTTTTGAACAGCCTTGTTTAGGAGGGGACTCAAAGACCTTAATGTTTGTAAACATATCACCCGATCCATCTTCTACTGGAGAATCCCTTTGCTCTCTTCGGTTTGCTGCTAGAGTGAATGCATGCGAGATTGGAATACCTCGAAGACAAACTTCCACAAAACTCCTTGACTCTCGTCTAAGTTACGGGTAAAAAAAAGTGTGATAGTTGGAGTTTCTCACTCATCTGTATAACAAGATCAAAATGTTTTAGCTTCTGATTGTGTGGATTTTGACAGTTTTACTGTATCGATTGTCTCAAGTTTATACGAAGATCTGTTTTCGATATCTTTTCATGTTACTCATTTAATTGTTGGACACAACTTACTCTCATAGCAATGTGGTGTGAGAAAATCCTACTAAACAGTTCTTGCTTACGCCTGATCATTTCCGCCTTTTAGCTTTCGAGTTGGGTAAAGGATATCATAATTCTTACTATCCGAAAGTACGAGTCCCATACGTATCAAACATTACTTCTAAATGGTAAAAATGAATAGTGATCAAGAGAAATGTAACCAACTCCTTCACCACCTTATTGTATTCATTGAGTTTCAGTCTTTTATTAGTCTCTCTGAGTGACATTATTCTCTAACCAGATCTAGTAAACCGGATTCTGCATCCACACGGTTTTACAAGTGAAAGTCTCTTATGGGCCGAGATTTAAGTGAATAGGCCCATATGGTGGAGCCTTGATACTTTTTACAAATCTTTTTCGTCGAATCGCATATTTTATTTCAATTTTTAAATATTAATTAATTATCCAATGGGGACAAAAGAGGAGTAACGTTACAATTCTCCACAAGAGTCCGCCAGATCCATTTTCAAATTACAGAGGCTCCTCCTTCTCCTTCTCCTTCCTTCCTCTATCACTCACCAAAATCATCTCCGATAAGGCAAAAACGAAGAACCCTAATTTCACAGATAAACTAAGGTCTGAATTTCTCTCCGACTCTTCTCATTCAATTTAATCGGAGGGTTTCTCTGGAAGAATCTGCTTCAGATTTGGGTAAATATTTGGAGAGATCCTTCTTCGCTTAGCTCGGATTCGAAATTTTTGACGCTATTGAGGAGAAGAAGGTGAAGGAATCAATCATCGGAAGTTTTGTTGTTGATTTTATTTCTCGAAGATGTCGCTTCGTAATCAGAATCGCGTTCCTCGCAGTCCAAACCCCGTAAGCCAA